CCAGTCTAGCAATGTCAAGTTTTTAGTTGTCTGTAAGTATGATTGGTGTCTACTTCATGCAAAAAAGACTAAAGAAATCCTTAATCTAATTGGGAATCAGTATCAGAATTCCTCAGTTCACTATGGCATAGATTTTTCATTTCAAATAATCTGGGCCAAAAACATGCATATTTTTTCTCCTGAAGCAAATATTCATAATTAGATTATTCCCAGGTGGGCTTCACTATTACTAAGCTTTTATGCTGATTAGATTCTGTTTGATTATATGTATCTGATTTTGGAAATAATATTTCTTGATTTTATTTTGAATATAAAGTAATTGTCTTTTCAGAAGAAACAGTAGTTGAAGTCTATCTGTATTGATAGTTGTGCTCTACAGACAGTATTTTTATAAATACATTCTTGTGTAAAATGTAAAGTATATGAGAAAATTGGATTCTTTGCTTTTTTATTGCACAAGATTAGCTTAAATTACTTCAGTGACTCTCAATGACTCAAAAGAGCAGAGTTTTGATAGACAGATTCAAATTAGTACCCAATAAAAAAAGTGCATGTATTCATTTGTACTTGAGCTAAAAGCTTAGTCTTACAGTAGCAGAAGATGAAAATGCATTATGGAGATAAGCAGTCGACTTCCTTTGGCCAGATAAAATGTACTGAAAGGAAAGACAGAGAAGATTCTGAGTATGTCAAAGACATTGTCTGGCCCTGTACCTCTTCTGGAGTTTGAGTGCTTAGCTGTGATTAGAAGTAACCTCAATGAAATATGAATGCATTGTAGCATTTCTGACCATATTATACTGGATCTAAATGGTGTTTGAAGTAACCCCTCTTTATCTGAACTAGAAGCATGAAAGAAATTAAAAGCATGAAAGAAATTAATAAACTACATGAGGATAAGGAAAGAGCTTGTACTTGCCCTCTATACAATAGCAATATCCCTGGTGCAACATGTACAGTAAGGTGACATTGTCATTAGACTTTTTCTCTGTAAGACATTTGCACTTCACAAACTGAATGTTGTGTCAAAGCTTAACATACTTCTTACCTGGCATGCTCCTGCTTTGGGATGAGTGATCTATTGCAGGCATAACCAAAATGAGATTATAAATACAGTGCTGATATTGCTAATATTTGCCTGGTACTGCTTACAGAAGCCATCACCTAAGAATAAATGAAGCACAAACCATAGGTAACATCAGAACATCCAGCCAGAGTGTGTACTTTTCCTAATTAGTGCATAAAGTCAACAGCCAATCATTAATTCATCCAGATCACACAGTGAATAACTACCAGGAATGCAAATGAGAAGCCAGGAATGCTGACTAGTCCTTTTGGAGATCTGGAGACCACTTCCAAAGTCCAAAAAGAAAAAATAAACACATTTCTTCTTTGTGTGTGATGTAAAGACTTTCAAAACTTCTGCTTGGCTTTGCATAATAGAAGAGATGCAGTTCTTTGATAATATGGTCTTTCTCACCTAGCTGAAATGAGGCATCAGTGAAGAACATTTTTGCAGAGATGTGAGATCTTGTAAACAGCTTCAATACAAAGGGTGGTTTGCTGAGCATTGACACTAAGTTTTGCAGAGTCCATAGATTTTGTGCTGCTACTTCTTTTTCCCTTGAACACTCTTAAGACCATTTCACAAACTTTGGAAACTTCTCAAAGCATTAAAGAGAATGTTTTAACTTAATTCTTTACTTTATTGAACAGAGGCAAAAAAGAGAAACATTAGGTCTGACTGACTCCTTCATTGTCGCAATGAATCCCAGAGACCTCAGTCTCTGTTCCATGTGCATAGGCAGGAGCCTTAATTGTTCAGATGAGCAGTCCCATTGAACTGAAGTGCATGTGGGTAAAATTAAACATGTACATGTTTGAAAGATGAATCCTAACTTTAAACATTAACTTTCTTTTTCCTCCCTCAAAAAAACCAACAAACAAACAAAGAAACCAAAACAAAAACAAAACAAACAAAACAAAACAAAACAACAACAAAAAAAACCCACAAAAAACCCCACCCAAAACCGAAATAAACAAAATCCCCAAAACATAAGACAATTTTGGGAGGGTTTTATATGACTTAGTTGGTCTGTTTTATGGACTTGGATTTAATGTAGGTAGCATTTGGTCTGAAGGGGTGTAATTTGTATTTTGTGTAAAGTTTTGACTATGTAATTGGTGTGAAGCTGGATTTCTGAAAAGCACAGTGCAATCTTTCACCTTTTAACCAATTTAACCTTTCAAGGAACCCATGACAGTTCAAGCTACCCATATAATTACCTATAAATATTTGTGCTTTAAATATTAATGCTTTTGACAAAATGGTTTAACATTTAATTATTTTTTGTGTGTTAAGGTATAAATTACCTTGTAAATGAAAATCAAATGCAGGGATAGGTGCCAAATTTTACTGACTGTGAACACCATGCTAACCCTGGGTGAAACATTTCTTATTATGTAGACTAATTTTCAAACCACATTAATTCTGTTCATTAGTTTTAATGGCTTAGACATGTTAAAGATTGGTAGTTACTTTTCCTGAGCATGAGCTAGAAGGGGTAAGTAATTCAGAAATTTTTATTGAAGTATCATTTTGTGTTTCAGCTGAGAAAGAAAATCCTAGTAATATTTTTTCCATGGATTCAATGTAATGCTACAAGTTATTACATAGGAATTCACTTTACACATGAAATAAGCACTGGTAAGAGTCCATTCCTAGAAGGAAGTAACTACTGAGCAAAGGCACGATAGGTAAAGCATTTCTTTTTTTAAGTGGGCACTGAACACTTTGGGGTTGTTTGTTTGTTTGTTTGGTGGTTTTTTGTTTTGTTGGTTTTGGGGTTTTGGTTTTTGTTTGTTTGTGAAGTCATTAAAGATTTGTGATTAATTAAAAGGTTTATTTATTTGCTTGGCTTACCAGATCAGAAACATTTAGTTTTAGTTTTGCATGAGAAACTAAGGGAGACCTCAGGGATATTAATTATGAACCCTAGAAACCTAATGCCAGCAGTGAGCATGGTGAACCTTGAGCAGTTATAGAACCATTCTAAATTTTATTTCAGTATTAGAGTTTTTAAATTTTTACAAAATTCAATGAAATTTTAGTAATTTCAAACAGTCTGATTCAAAGTCCTTTCTTCTTCCAACTCTCCTCTTTTATCATGTGTTACCAGTTTTTCAGTGCAAGGTTTTTAAGTTTTAGACTTGCTAATCTGAAACTTAGCCAAAAACAACATTTTCAAGCTATTTTAGCTAAAAAAAAGGCCCAAAAAGGTAATTTCTAACACTGAAAAAGAACAAAATTGCAACTGGGAGAAAAATTATTTCACCATCTACTTGTTCATTAAAGTCCTCATTTTAACTTTGGAGAGACACATGTATTTACAGTATGTACCATGCATGTGCATCAATATTCCAGATTTCCCCAACAGTTGTGGTTCTCATTAGCATACACAGTATAACAGCCTAAAGCAGTTTCCAAAATAGTGGCCATACCTTGTGTTGTGGAGCATGATTTACTTTGTCAGGTAACAGACTACGTTAGGTCAGGAAATGACATGCCAGTTTTGCAGTGTTGTGTCAATACCAGGGCCAGCAGCTTAAAAGATAAATACTTCTTTAAATGAATTCAGAATGGTGGAATGAAGAGTGCTGTTTGAGTGCTGGCCTCCAGATTATTTTCGGGGGTTTGGTATTTTTCTTGTTCAGAGGAAAGTAAGAGCAAAAGTTCCGTTCAATGTTACAGTGGTCACTGGATTTGCTCTGCTCTCTTAGGGAATTATTACCAGCGTTTGGGTTTCTTTACCGGCGATTTGGTGTTCTTGGTTTTTGTTTTTCCCATCGTGCCTCCTTACTAGTTATGTAATGCAGAGTTTAGCAAAACTCTGAAGACTGTTTAGAGTTACTGCCTTTCTGTAAAGCTAACGGCTAAACACCGGAGTTGATGCAAACAAGTCATTTAGCATCTGAAAGAAGTGTTAACACTTTATTTACATTTAAATTAAAATAGACACTTATTTATGTGTTCTGGTTCTGAAAGGTGTGTGGTACATCTGCAGAGGCCTATTGTTTATTCATGCTGTAAATCCTTTGAAATGTGTTAAAATGCTTCCCACTCATTATAAAAATCCTGCCACCCATGGATTAGGGCTTTGATGTCACCAATCCTGCTTCAAAGGGTTCTTTCAATGCTATTAATCACAGTTTAGCCTCTGAAGATATAGCCAGAGAAAACATTTGGACATCTTGTGCTAGACTTGCTAAAACTTTGAAATATACAGAGTGTCTTGCATATGCAAGTCCGATATCACTTCCTCTCTCTTCTCCTAGGCTTTATTTTGAAAAGCTATTTTGTGATGACTTTGGCTTTCTACAAGTAGAGAAGAAAAAGTTTAGGACACGTCATACCTTACATTTTAAAGAAGGCACTAGTCTTTCGCTTGACACCACAATATATTTTTGCCAGGGAAATTGAGTCAGTCTTTAAAAACCCAGAGTCACAATAAGATTGAGAATTGTATGTCAAAAGGTCAAAAAATGGTGCTGTCTTATCATTTTCTCATCTCTCTTGTTAGTTTGTGAGTTTAAGATACTGTCTTAACACTTGAGGATCCCTGTGATTTCATAGAAACAAGATTGATTCTGTCGTCTTTTTGCTCTTTGAAATCTCTCAATGAGTCTCAGAGAAATTGATTACTAGTGATTGAGCTGTATGCCTTTGTGCTGTCATTGTTTTCATCAGCTCAGTAGCTAAGGTCAGTGACATACCACCTTATCACTGACTTTTTCCTCCCCTCTAAATCAACACTGCACTCTGTCATGCCTTTGCTGAATGCTCTGCAGGCACAATTGGTAATGAGAGGGGTGTGGAAGAAGTGTGGTGGTGTCTGCTATTTTTAGTACTATTGTACAAACTGATTTTACACAGTAAAAATTTTTCTCTTCTAAGTTTCTTGAATAGTTTTTGCAGTATGAATTTCTTTCTTTTTCAACAGGTAATTTGGCACAAGCAAGAGCCAGAGTGACAGCAGCATCTCGGTCTCTGCCTCCGCAGCTCAGTGCTGGGCGTATCAAGGTCAGTAGTGTTCCCTTCCAGAACACACAGCTGTTTATAAAATACTGCAGTGAGACTGTGTACACAATACCTAGCTGATGTGGGTTTAGAGTGAGGTTCTTACCACACACAAGTCTGCCTTTACCACCAGTAACATGCACCTTGTCTTGGAGCATGGTTCCCAGTTTTAGTGATGACCCTATTGTAGAATTCAGTGAAGAATCAATTTACTAATCTTTAAACCTTTGGAGTGGAATCTGTTACATCAATATCAGTATCAGTCCTTTTATTCCAAAGAGGTCAAGGTTTTCCTCTGACAATTTTGATCTAGAAAGAGGTCTTACTAGGTAAAATTTGAATAGTGTATTTAACAGTATGAAAGGCAAAATAATTAAAAAAAAATTTTTAAATTCAACTTGAAAGTGAAAAACCAGGAGGTGTTTGTGACTGGTAGATAACTGGAAAAACATTACTCAGCAAAAGCACTATTCTGTAAAAAGAGCTGTAGAATTTAAATGCTGCTGAATTTTGCCATGAAAGTACATGGCATAACTGAAAAAAGATAGGATAATTTTATGGCAATTAGTAGGGTTACGACTGAGTACACTTAATTTGTGAGGAAACTGTTGTCCCTTGAAGCTGATGGTATGTACACTCCCTCCCTGCTTCCCAAGTGGTACTTGTCAGAGTTAGCTTAGTTAAGGTTTGGGGGTTTGGGTTTTTTCCAAAGCAAACAGTAATAAATTTTTCAAATAAGAGTGGTAACAGCAACTGTTCAAAAGTCTACAAAATTTTATGTTTTGAGTTTTCTATTTCTTCATGTTATCTTCTGGTATTTGGAGCTCAGGTTCAAACATCGGTGTGGTGATTTATGTTATCCAGATGTCTATATCCTTCACTGTACCTGCAAATACAGATGTGGATTTCAGACTATTATTTCCTGTCTGGTGTAAATACTTTCGGTGCTGAAGGGTGGCCTTTCCAGTTTTCTTGTGTCGCATACACATTGTCTTCTACATCCAGCTATATTCAGCACAAGCTTTCTAAGCTGGCATTTTAGTGATACAGCAGGATTGTAATAGAGCAGTTCACTCCTAGAGCTTTACTAAACGCAGTCAGTTAATAAATACTGTTTAAGTGAGCTTTACTCATCCTTCAAACTTTTTAAAAGGAGCTAAAAGAAGACATGCAGAAGTACAACACTATTCAGAAAATGTTAGTTTCAGTACTTTTTAGATAAAATAAACTATTTCTTAGAAATTTGTAAAGCACCTAATTAAAACAATTTCAGGAAACATATTTTAAATTATTATTTTTTAATTTGTTTTAAAAAATCCAAATGTAATAATTTTGTTTGGAAGTTTTTTATCATTATTTAATTTAGGAGGGTTTTTTGCTTAACATATTTTTTGGTTTTATAGTATTTCATACCATGCCAGCAGCAGGTGTGGTCAATATGTAGAAAGTCATAATTTGGAGTGACTTCATAAGATGACATAATGTCATAAATCGTTCTTTTAATATTGTTTCAAAACTATTAGAAGGCCTATTGTCTGTGAGGTTGTTGCCCTACCATAAAATTGTGTGGCTTCACAGACAAGCAGTGTTGAACATTAATTAGAGACAAAACTTCTTAAAAAATCTTACAAGAAAATCCCCTCAGCTTCAGGGTCTATCAGATTTTTTCTGATGAAAACTTCAAACGTTCCTTGTCAAAAAGATTTGGAAATTTATTCTAGTTCTTACAAATTGCAGAGATCTGAATTTACAACTTCATTCATAGGAAGAGAAATCTAACAATACTGCTTTCAACCTAATTTTCTGAGAAAAATTGTTTTACATCTCCTCTGTGAGTGTTTTTGACCATCTGTCTTTCTGTGCATTCATTGCCTTTGCTGTCCCAAAAAAACCTCAAACCAAACCAAACCTCTTTGGAGCCCAGCAGTTGTAAGCCATATTTTATAGAGTGGCAGTCCCAAGATAGCCAGATTCTACAGTTTTGGTGAAAAAAAGCATCTATGAAGAGGAGATGATACTGCCCTTTATTGATCAGTAGATGTATGAGATATGGATATAGGAGGCTGTGAGTGGTCAATCTGCAAAAACATCACTGAGTCTCTGCTTTTCTAGACAAAGAAGAGTCCTATTTAAAACCTCATTTTCATTGGCATTTGGGCTCAGATCAGTCCTCAAGCTATTTGTTCTTGTTCTTTATTTAATCTTATTTAAAATTAAATTGTGTGTCTTTAATATTAAAAATATTACCAGTTATTCTGAACTTACTGTCAGTGCTCACTGTTATGGCTTGTGTCTTCTGCCTGACATCTACTAGAGATTTAGATAACAGTCCTCAGAAACTAGATGCCTTTCCAAGATAATCTTGAACCATTCCTATATCCTTCCCCATGGGCATGCCTGCTGGTTTGATTAGTTCATTGATACTTACTTTGTCACATAAACTCATAAAATGTTTGATGTTACCTGTGCAGATCGGGCATTTTTTCCTGGAATATATTACAGAGTATTCTGTTAACAAACTGCATCTCTCTTTTTTATTCTTTTTTTAATGTATACCAGTGCATGTATGCCACTCTGGGCCAGAACGTCACAGATTACAAAAACAGATTGAAATTTTTATGGTCATCCTTATTGAGCTCTGTCTTCATTTGTGCCATCTGTGTTCTTAATCTTGACCTCTCTAGATTTCTTTGCATTTCTTCCCCAACACAAAATCCATTTTTTTATCTATTATTACTTAGTGCTTCATTTCCTTTATATTTTGCATGCAGTCTCCTAAATACCTCCTGAAGGTAAGAGTCTCAGTTACTTTATTGAGAACTGTAATCTTTCAGCAATTATTTTAGTGTCCAGAAGAGTGTTCTTAAGTCAGTGAGTGTTAGAAAAGATTGTGTGGAGCAAAGTCCAGGGAGTGTAGCACAGGTGCTGACAACAGCATTATCTGGTTTATACAAATGCCACCTGGTCAGAGCAGATGGTAAATTGCCATAAAGTAAGTGAATGCTAAAATGCTGTTAATGCTCCATGCAAACAGGATGCTGGTTAATTTTCTTTAATTTTGTTGGGCTGTAATGTAGCAACACAATCTGCTTGTTATGGATAACCACAGTTATACTCATTCATAAATTCTGGTTTCATTTTGATATGAACAGCTGTACTAACAATATAACTGAAATCTATAAGGAGCAGTATGTTCACTGTCCATGTATATCCTCTAAAAACAACTATTCTGCAATGCTGAAAAAATTGGTGTGCTGTGGCAGTTTGGTAGGATAAGATTGCTGAGATTCTTGGCATCAAAATGGCAATATAAAGTAATTAATAGTAACCACAGTAGGAGAAGAGAACAGACTTAGATGTTCTGAGACAACCTACTTTGTTTGCCACTCATTATCCTACCGTATTTTTTCCATACATGAGCAAATGAGGCTGTTCAATTTACTTCCTGGGTATTACAAATATGATAACTCTTCTTATAGATACAAGTCCTGTTGGAGTCCATTGTAGTGGCAATAAAAGGAATGCCTTTTAGAAATCAGTTCCTAAAGTATTGCAACTTGACAGCTGTTTCACTGGCAGAGTATTATACTATCATAAATCTAGAGTGCTCTTACACTATGAAAAAGAATTCAAAATGCTTAGAGACCTCTCCAAAATCAGAGTGTGTCCTGCGTCTTGCTATCTCTGATAAAGTATTCTGAAGTACTCACACCTGAAGGAATGACTATAACAAAAACTGAACCCAGCTTTCATAGGCAAAGTGGGGTGGGTCTGCAGTGTTTCTGGAACAGTCCTAACACCAGAGTTTTTTCTTCCAGGTTGACACAATGGAGGTTATGCGGCATCCTGAGGAAACAACTAACATGAAGCGGCAAACTATGGCTTCCTATTTTAGGGTACAAAAATTAAAATTAAAACAAGTATTTTGATAAGAAGACCAAAAGATATATGTAGAATATTTGTGGGATAGTAAGATCAAAGAGCATTATCAGAGAATTTTTTTATTCTGTTACAAGGCCTCTGTAGATTCTAAACTTTTCTTTGCTTTTTTCTCTTTGTTTCCTCGTACTTGTATTTTTGTTATTTCATTGGGTACATTGATAACAGAATCTAGAGCCTAGACTATTTTCTGTCTAAAATGCTAGAGGTCTAGAACAGGTCTCGTTATTAGCAGAACACCAATTTTGTGCAAATAAAACAGATCCTATTACTAAAGTCTTCATATTTTCTCACAAGATGAGGCATACATACCTTTAAAGATTAAGATTTTTCATTTATGATCATAAGTAAAAAACAGTCCATCTTTTGGAAGTACTGTTGTAAATCATACAGGTTGCCATTTTATCAGTAGTAATCCTGTCTGAGGTAATGCACATTCTGCTCATGTAATTGTATCAAACAGGCATTGAGGAAGGAAAGGGCATTGAGAATGTTGGAACTGGAAGCTTAGGAGTCAAGAAAGTGCTAGTCTGAGACTCTTGGTCATTGTTTTTTTCTTGCAATCATTGCAAAGTGGAAAAGTTTTCAGCAGTTGGCTCTTGGGCTGCCCTTGTGCCATGCAGAATAGGGAGGTTCACAGAGTAGTGCTAACCAATGTGAGTCAAAGCTTCAAGCTGTGTAGGAGTGTCTGATCAATTTGTGTTGTAGAATAGTCTAAGGAAGGGTATAGAGGAAGCTGGTGTATACTGAGATGTTGCCTCGCTGTGCAGAGTGCAAGGACACTGACATTCAGACTTGTCATACACATGTGCACTTAGAGGGCTCTTGCACAGAACCACACAGATGCCAGCTCTGTAGAAACTGTAAAAAGAAACAAAAGTGTAATGGGGGAGAGAGTGTGGAATTAGACTGTAAGACACGTGCAACCTGCGGCAAGGTGATGTCAATGAGCTTGGAATTGTAACTGATTTTGAGACACATATGGTTATATGAGATTGAACAGTTGACAACACATGCTTATTGTGCAACAGCTGAATGAGGTAAGTATGGAGCAGGAGTATTAGTATTCAGAGGAGTCAGTGGAAAAAAATATATATGCTCTGATCAAACATTTTTCATTTCAGTTTAAAATGAAACAGATTAAATTGGTTTGTTTGTCTAGGGTGGATAGAAAAAGAAGTAATGGACTTACATTTCAGTGGCAAGATTTATGTTAGATGCTAAGAAGTTTATGAATAGTCGTGATAATACAGCAGAACAGATTTCTAAGGAGACTGTGCACTTGATATTCTCAGTGGTTCTGAAAAATTTATGTAACAGAGATGTACCTGAAATGTTGAAGATACATCTGGTGTTCTTTGTGGACAGAGCACTGAACTGATGACTTCTTGCAACCCTTCCCTGGGTTCAAAGATTCATTTGCTGTGAATTTCAGTGATTGTTTCATGGTAAAGCTTGTATTTCTCTTGGGGATATTTGATCAATAAAATGTGTCTACAGTAGAATTATAGTTAGGACAATTTTCAACTTCATTTTTTTTAATGGACATTCTTCAACTATGGAAATGTTATATAAGGAGAAAAGAAAGGTGTAAAAAGTAAGAGGTCAGATTCAGAATATTTAAATTTTTTAAAAGTGAAAATTTTTAATAGGTTCCACGTTTCACCTGAAATCTTTAAAATGAATAAAAAAGCAATGTAGATTAACATTACAGATTAAAATATAATCAAGCATTACAAACTGTTTACAAATATGAATCTCCTGCTTAAGTCATTCCATTGCAGTTTTTTGTCAAGTGTGTGCATCTTCTTTATTTTCTTCACTAGTATTCCCTCATGGATCTTTTATCCAAAATGGTTGTTGGACAGCCTCACTTTATCCGCTGCATTAAGCCGAATGATGATCGAGAGGCGCTGATGTTCTCTCATGAGAGAGTTCTGCTGCAGCTGCGATACACTGGAATTCTGGAAACTGTCAAGATACGTCAGAAAGGGTATTCCCATCGCATCCTCTTTGAGGAGTTTGTAAAAAGGTAAGACTTGTGTCATAGGGCTGTTTTCCTAATATTCTATTCAGTAAGATACATTCTAGGTTTAAATACAGAAAGTTCTACAAATGTTGTTCATAGGTGTGTGGTCCCAATGTCTAATGAGGACAGGGACTTTCAGAGATAAAGACTACAAGAGATATCTGATCTCTAATGGAAAACAGTCAATGTGAAACCTACAGTGAGCACAAGCAGCAAGCCTGTCCCCATGGTTCTCTCTATAGAGGCAACAAGTGGAAATTATGCATCCTGCTCAGATAATTCAAGGATTTTGGAAGGTCACTGCCCTTCAACCATCATATGAAGCTGAACATGCACATTTTTAAGAATTAACTGATATGAAAGCTTCAGCTTTAGCTTTGCAAAGTCATTTATCTTAGAGATATCACGAATGATAATCAGAACTCTGTTCACCCTAACCCTTCTCATGGCTGCTATTACTGGCTTTAATACATATTCTCAATCTCAAAAAATTACAAATTTTATTCAGGAAATGCTATTGTCTTTATGATGGCAATGTAGCTTCATGATAATTATGGTTTCCTCTATATTTTAAATGTGTCTTTGTGTGGTATTTACTGGTTTTCAATGTGTAGGACTGGTGATTCAACAATGAGCAGAAGCACTACCATGAACCATTTAGGCAACAGTAGGAGCAAGTAGTGAATGGCTAGATCATGGCGTGATATTTTTTGAACTGGATGTTGCTTATCCAGACAATATAGAATTAATGATTCTACTGAAAGCAAGTCATTAGTCTCATTTCAGTGCCTGATAAAGTTAGGGAGAAGATTATTCTGGGAGGTGTTGAAAAACACCTGAAAGACAGTCCAGTCACTGGTCACAGCCAGCACAGCTTCATGAGAGGAAAGTCTTGCTTATCAAACCTGATTTGCTTTTATCACAAAGTAACCCACCTGGCTGACCTAAGGAAGAAGCCAGCTGATGTCATCTTCTTGGATTTCAGTAAGGCTGTTGATACTGCCTCTCACAGGATCCTTCAGGACAAAATGTCCAGCACACAGCTGGATAAACCAGTCATTGTAATGGGATAGCAACTGGCTCACAGTTTGGGCACAAAAGGGTTATAGTGAATGGGATGACATCAGACTGGTGTCCAGTCACTCATGGGGTTCCACTGGACTCCATCCTCAGCCGTGTGCTCCTCAACATCCTCATAAATAGCTTGGATGCAGGCTGGAAGTGATACTAAGCAGGTTCACAGATGGTGCAAAATGGGGAGGCGCTGTTGACTCCTTGAAGTCAGGAACGGACTGCAGAGAGGCCTTGACAAATTAGAGGGCTTGGCAACACCAACCAAATAAAGTTCAGCAAGGGAAAGTGCCAGGTTCTCCACCTGGGCAACCCTGGATGTGCAGACAGACTGGGGAATGAGGTGCTGGAGAGCAGTGCCACAGAGAGGGACCTGGGGGTCCTGCTCACTGGCAGCCAGGAGGGCCAAGCATGTCCTGAAGGCATCAGGCACAGCATGGCCAGCCGGTCAAGGGAAGGATTTTCCCACTCTGCTCTGTTCTGCTCTGGGGCTGCCTCACCTTGAATATTGCATGCAGTTTTGGCCACCAAAATATAAGGCATTAAAACTATACAGAAGTGTCCAAAAAGCGCAGCAAAGATAGTGAAGGGCCTTGAAGGAGAGTCATATGAGGAGCAGCTGATGTCACTTAGTCTTTGATGACCTTACTAATTTTAGTAAGGTCACACCATTCTAGAGCCCATTTAACAGATTAATTTTTGTGATCATTAATAAATGTAATCAATTTGCAATATCCTGAAGGAGCCGAAAGCAGAATTATTAACCGCAACTTTTATTCAATTTACACGTAAGTGAACTAAGATTAACTCCACAGAAATTAGTGTAAATTGAGAGGAAATTAAGCCTTCTCTTATCAGGAGATCCTTTTCTTTCAAAAATGTGCTGAATTTGAGTACATCCTTGAAAACTAATGGTAATAAAACCAGCATTGACTGTAGCTTACCATATCCTTGCAGATAAGAGCAAGTTGTGGTTAGCATCTTGTCAATTACTCCCCAAGTTTTTAGTCTAACTTGATGTAATTTGTTAAGGAAAGAAAATCAGCACAAAAAGGGAAGGAGAGGGGCGTAGATTTAATTTCCACAACAGTAAAGACTTCTAAGTTCAGAGTATAAGTGAAAGGAAAAGGAGGGAAAGGAGATGTTCTTGCTCCTTTGTTCAGCTCATGCTTTATTTTAAAACAAATTCTATTCTCTTTTAGTCTTGCAAATAAAATCAAACAATATTTTATAAAGCTATCAGTAAAACAAGAAACATTTTTCCTCAACTCACAGCTATGACTAGTCAAGTGTTTTTAGGAACTAAGTAATTGAATACATAAAAATGTTTGAGAAAACAGGTCAAATGCTAAACAGATTGGCACTTCTTTGTTCATAATCAAAAAGACATTAGGCAAGTATGAAGAAGAGTTTCAAAATGTCAGTAAATGTAAGGATATCAAAGATTTTTTTAAGCCAGCAAGTTAATTGGTATTTTGATCCTTTTCAGCAACGGAACAACAAAATGGATGAGCCAGCATTTTTTCTCCCTTGATGTTATTAAACAAATAGGTGTGCTTCTTATCTGCCTGTTCAATAATACTGTTTTGTAAACTCTTAGCAGGAAATATGAGGACAAAACAATCAAAGGCAGGGAGCAGACCCATTCAGAGTTTATCAGGTACGAGGTAAACAAAAGATAAAGCTCTGTCTAACGTTACTCTTTACTGTCTTCTGTTTTCATGCAGAGCAGATTATTTGCAAACCTGGATGTAGTTTATTGGGTTAAAAAACAGATGGTGAGGAGAGGGCTTAATTGTAACTCATTCACACAATGTTTCTTCAGCCAAGTATATTGCCATCTGTTTTATGTATATAAATATACATATTCTTTTACTTAAAGTAGGAAAAATGTAATCTGCAGTCCCTGTAAACACAGTATCCCTGTCAAGTCTTAGATGCTGTGTCTCCCTTGGCCCTGTCTTGTGCCCCATGACATCACGCATCTGTCTTATGTTTGCTGTGAAGCAACATGGCTTTCAGGCTGGAATCTGAGATTTTAGGTGCAGGTGATTAAGCTGATCAGTCAACCAGGTGTGTCTCAATGTGGTGTCATGTGGTGACCATGCACTGCACAGCAGTTTCAAGGAGCTGTGCTTTCTCATGGCGACCTGCACTGAAGGTCCCACTGGAAGGAGCGCTCCTTGCTGAGTGCCCCTGGAGCCTCACGTGACGTGATGTGGTGTGCAGGTGTGTCCTCACCACACAGCCCCCAGCTGGATCCTCTGTTCGTGTTGCATGTTCTGTGCAGGCGCTTGGAAGATAAGGGACTCAGTAGGCTGGTGATACTAAATGGTGCCATACTTGTGTTGCTTCATTGGCTTATAGGAATGTATTGAGAACTTTTGCACAAGTTCCATTTTAAGGATTGTCTTTTTTCTTTTCTGCCTGTTTATGTTAGACATTAGAATTTTTGTACTGCATTAAGATGCAGGATAAACTTTTACTATTAGCCATTTACCTATTCCGCAGTAGTCAGATGATCTCTGATCATACAATCATGTCAATACCAATGCTGTTACTGTAACAGTGATCCCAGTGAGACTGCTTCTGCTTTTTCAATCTCACAGGACAAATTTACATAAGGTCACTGTAAGTACACGCGGTATACACAATTTCTAAACCACCAGTGTTACATTTCTCATGACCACATAAAGTCTCATTGGCCTTGGTAAGTCACATTTTACATGGAGTGGAGCTAGGAATTAAAACTGGTCAAACATTACACAATCCTGTAAAACATATAACCTCAGTAAGTGCTTTCTTCTAACGCCAAAAATTTGGTGGTGATACACTTGCTTATGCAAAATCAGGGAAGCACTGAATTAAATGAGAAGTCAACAGACTTGCTGCAGATAAATTCTTTCTTTATAAATGATGCATTTTTAATGCAAGCCTACTTTTAACACTAAACCTGCACTATATTAAAGTTTGTAAGTGATTTCTGTAAACAAAATTGTAACATTGCCTGATACCTTGATTTTACTATTATCTATAGAAATGTTTATTTGTTTCAGTGGCTTTAAGATTTCACCACATCTGTAGAATGTTCCCATGCACTTTAACTATGGTGAACTACTATACCTTCCATATACACTTTCTAGATGTTTCCCATTCACAAAACACTGGTAAGTGGTTGCAGGATGGAGATGATAGGAAAACATTAGAAGTGGAAAGTCTTCTAGCTGCTTATGAATAGTTTATGCACATTGCACCAAATTAGGCTTTTCTGAGAGTATTTCTGATTCTGTATTTGTCAGATGATTTTCAGCATAAGTGCTAGGTATCTGTTAATAAATATCAAGAGTATCTTAGATGTCGTATCATTTTTATTTATATTTTTATTTATACTCTTAATTATTTTTGTGAATTCAGATTTGAAAGTTTCTGAAAGAGGTGCAATACAACCCATACAAGTTAGAAATTTTTTGAAGTAATTTTACAGCTCTTGTAGTTCTAAAAAAAGTGTATTTTTTTATAGTTTCTGGTTCCAGGGCTGAGAAGGAACAAATAATTTCATGATTCTGAGAATCTTCCTACTGTTTGTGGTCTGGCTAGAAAGGGATTTTGTACCTCATGCTTTTCACATACGATTGATTATCCACCTCAAGTTGTTACATTTTAGTACAAAGATTTGTTTTAAAGAGAAAAAGGGTTAATCATTACTGTTTTGAGTTAATTATGTAGAATGTCTGCAGCCTTTAAGTCTGAAATGTGAAGGGAACTTCAGTAGGAGACACTGGTATAGTAGTTAATGGTGCTGTTTAAATGCATTTTATGGAACACTTCCACAGTTTAGCCTTTAGCGGGGGTGGGAAATGGAACCATTTGTTTGCAGTCAGTTTATTTAGTCTGAAACCAGCAACACTAAAATGCCTTGGCCCTGAACAGATAGTTAATGCATAGCATCTTCCTGAAGTTTTCCATATCTTTGCATATTTGGATGTCTTTAGCATTTAACCTTACTTCTGCACATCCTAGCTTTGCATTCTAAGGTTAAATTCAACTTTTAAAAAATGTTGGTTTATTTCTAATGACTAGCAAGTACAGTTAATCCCATTTTAATATAAGTTTTTTCTGAAATAACAGTCACATCCATGAAGAATAGTATGTATTGCAGAGTAAAAACCATTAGTTAAGAAATGCAGAATTCCAGAGTTTCATGAGCTTTGAGAAATCAGTTCTTCTGAGGGGAAATTACTTTCATCTTACTTAGTCTTACTGCTAGTGAGAATGCGATTAGTCAAGTACTTGTAGGAAACATGTAGATGAGTGTGTGCCAGGTGTAGGAAATTTTCAAGCAGGATGTATAACCAGGAAAAGGATATGTTTTTGCACAAGTATGTGTGTGTTTATGAAATAGCACATGAAGCATCATAAACATATATTTTAAAATGACAATAAAAGTATTGGTTTAATGAAGGACACTGAAATATTTCTGGCTGCCATATTTCATGCTGAAATAACAAGTGCAAATACGGAAATAAAAAGGTAGAGTTGTGAAATTTTCATCTCATCTGAAAGCAAATGTGATTTCTAGCCCTACTTTTCAGAAAATAAGTTTCTGGTTTCTTGGTTGTAGTTGCAAGTAGAGGTAACTCTGAGAACTCTGCACAGTAGATTTACATAAGTATGACAGAGATTAAATTAGACCAGTAAATCAAAATGAACAGTTGTATATATCCCAAAGCTTTTTTTCAGGCCATTCTCTGCCATTTCACCATGCACAGTATTTGCATGCTTTTGCCAGATACATAAGGGTGAAACATTTTACCTTCCTCCAAAATTTTCCATAGGGTCCATTCCTGTAAAAAGATTTTTAATTACATAAAATAATTGGATGACCCTGTGTGGCACACACCGTGCTGCCATACAATTGTCCTGAGCACATAATGTCAAACTACTTGGGTGTCTGTAGTTATGTGATTCAGTCATGAAAACAGGCACTAAACCAAAGTGTTTACTTAAAAATACCCACAAAACACATGGTTTTGAGCTTTGGAACACAAATCCATGGACCTAATGTGGTGTAGAATGCACACTACAAAAGGAGTTCTGGAGGAGAAAGAATTAAAAATAAATAGGTAATAATAAAGAATAAAAATAAATAGCCAGTCTCATATTGGTAGTCCTTATTTCTAATGAGTACAGTCATTTCTGCCTTTTCTTGGGGGAATGGCCTGAGGTTGTGTGAGGAGAGGCTTAGGTTGGGTATCAGTAAAAAATTCGTCACCCAGAGGGTGGCTGGGCACTGGAATAGGCTCCCCATGGAAATGGTCACAGCACCAAACCAGACAGAATTCAAGAAGCAGTTGCCAATGCTTTTGGGCACATGGTGTGACTCTTGGGGATGTTCTGTGCAAGGCCAGGAGTTGGACTTCATATGGGTGCCTTCCAACTCAGAATATTCTGTGATTCTATGACGTAACTGGAAAGCAACAGTAAGTATATTTGAGCAGGTACAGATGTCTTCTGTGCAGTAGTTAGATCAATCAAAACATTTGGAAAATCACCATTTAGAGGAAGTTTTTAATAAATTTTGAGAGACAGTATGTTTACATACAGAATCAGTAGTTATTCCCATGTAGTTTCTACTATGGTTTGTAAAGTTCTTGCTATTCTGAATAGCTTGCTTTCTTAGACTATAGATACATTTACATTTATAAAAACATTTGTTAAAATAGGATTTGATAAGAAAAATAACCATGGTTTTATTTATGTGTTTTTTTGGAGCACCAAAGCGACTACAGTCTAGATCATGAAAGAGAGCTATTGGAGAGGGTGCTATCTATGACAGATAATGAAGTTTGTCATGAACAAAATGGTGTAGTCAGGCAGGTAAATCACGCAGTTCAAGAATACTTTTTGCTCAGATATTTGTCACAAATAAGTTGACTTTTCAGTAAGTGGAATGCCAATGATAAAATTAAAGAATTATAAGATTTCCCTTGAATATTTTATTGTATCAGTGCTATCTAAAAACTGTTCTGTGGTTTTAAAATTCTCACCAATAACTGCCTTAAAAGATACAAGAAAACCAGTGTCACTTCCCGCCTGCTTTCCTTCCCTCCCTCCCTCCCTCCCTCCCTCCCTATGTGTAACTCACATGACCATCTGAACTGGCTTTTGAAGCAAACAGCAATTTACTATGAGTGTAACTTCCCCCATGTATTTGTCAGCTATCTGTTGAAATTGTATGACGTCAAAATATATTTGTGATCCATATATTTTAAATCTGAGTTTTATTAGTGCAACTTAGTACTGTTTGTTTTGTGAAAACTGGCATCATTAACTTCAGTAATAAGGTGGAGGAAATGTACTTTTTTTCTTTTGAATACACCACGTTTCTCCAAACCTACTGAAAGGCATGAGTTGATACTTTGAAAGACTTGCCTAAAGAATTTGCAACATCACATTGTTGAGAAAGTCACTACATTTAATATAACTCAGTAATACATAATCTCTTATCATTATTCAGAGATAGCAATGTCTCCAGTTGATGAATATCTATGTCTCTGGTCCAGAACTTATTCCAGTACTTCTCACTTCAGATGTCATTTTGTTCCTGTTTGATCTTAACTGTTTTAGTGGTTTTTTTTTTTCTTGTGACAACTGGAGCTAATAGATAGAGATTAACTGGAACTAATAAAATAATACTATTCTGACTTTAAAAAAATAAAATATTGCAAAATTCTAAATTTTCTAATTGCTTCTCCATATTTTCTTCAGTATAAGGTGGGATATTTTCTTGAGTCTGTGTGGCTACAGAGGGATCTGTCTTTGAGATCACTGATGACATTCTTCTATTCATATTTTAAAGAACATCTGATCACTCTTCCCCATGCTAATAATTAGTAGAATGATTTGCTCAGCTGGCCACCTCCTCTCAATCCTAATGTAAATAGAGTAAAACCTTTAGAAGTACAGCTTAACACCAAGACAGCACATGGCAGTTACTAAGTGAGAGCTGAGGTGGCAGTTGCTAGCATCCAAATGCACTTGTGCTAAAATATCCTTAAATTTGTAAACTAACTGACACATGTTCTAGCTGTTACTTAGCATAATTGTTTGCAAGTAGGTTTACTTAAATACTATAAAACCAGTCTTCATAAATGCATAATGGCTTTATAGGTAGGAAGGGACTGGTTCTTAATTCAGTTTAAGCATGTTTGTATCCCTGTTTCATTAGCTATAGGTTATTAGCTATAACAAAATTGTTAGGAGCTGTTCTTTGCAAGGGAACATGGACAAAAAAAAAAAAAAAAGATAATATTGTTTAGTATGGGTCTGCTCCAGACTCCTAAAATTGATCATAATCATTCTAATTAATTGTTTATTGTAATCATTTATATGTCCAAATATCTATTCATGACAGCTGTGTCGTGATTCATGAAGACACAGCTGTCATGAAGTATGTATGAGCAGAAGGAAGAATTTGGCTCATTGATTCTAGAGATAGAGCTTGGAGCTAGATAAAAACAGTGGAAGTACATCTTGATTGTGATTCAATTCTTTCTTTGCCATTTTGCAGGTATTACTACCTTGCGTTCAAGGCACATGAGACTCCCCTTGGCAGCAGAGAAAACTGTCTTGCCATTTTGGAGAAATCTAAACTAGACAACTGGATTCTTGGGAAAACCAAGGTATGGGGTGCTAACATTTTCTCAAGGATAGTATACCTTTATAAATCATGTCTAATAGGGGTTCAAAAAGTACTGCATGAATGAACAAAAGAGCAAATAATTTGCTCCAGTTAGCTTCCCAGGTTATGGAGGTGCCCTCCCAAGCCAGCTGAGTTAGTGCTGCAAGAGGAGGGGTGTACTGGCTGCCTCCCCAAAGTGCATTCGGCAGGCACATGGCTGCCTTGATAAGGACAGTACCTCTGCCAGTGCCTGCTGTTGTAGTGACTTCCTGAAGTTTCCATCTTCTTAAGAATGCCATGGCTGAAATGTCACAATTTGACCCATCATATGAGCCTGGCTGGTATCGTTCTCCATTCATGGAGTTTCAGGTAAGCTCCTTCTCTCTCTCTCAAAAGCCTTTGTTGATGGTTTCAAATGGAGTGATAGACTTCTTTTAAAAGGATGTTACACAGTACTTTGAGTTGTTTTACATTACACAAAGGAAAAACTGTGACAGTTTTCTTGCCCAAGATCCAGATAAAATGTATGTAAGTGCCCATATGATTTGCCTCCTTAGGGAGCATGCTTTTAGACAATATTATATCTAAAACCAAATTCAATCCAGGATTTGTTTCCACTGACAAGGAAGGTCATCTTTCAAAATTGTTCATAACTGAAAAGATCTCACTGTCCAATTTACTTTGTAAAGGGGGTAAGTGTGGGAGTTATTTGCACAGGATTACAGAATATTCTGAGTTGGAAGGGACCCACAAGAATCATCAAGTCCAGCTCCTAAACAAATGGCCCATACTGGGATTGAACCTCAACCTTGGTGTTATTAACACCATGCTCTAAGCAACTAAGTTAATCTCACAGTTAGCAATGGGGTGATTATAATCAGTGGAATAAAGAATTTTCACAAGTACACAAGAGCAAATAATTGATTTACAAGATTGCTATGATATGTACAATCAGTATTTTTCTAGTTTTCTCAGCAATTACACCCTTGAATAGGCTGCTGAAGGACTAATGAGAAGGCAAAATACAAGAGGTTATAATACTGATTATAATACTGTTTTTGTTTTCCTGTTGTTCCATTACAGGTTTTCCTTAAGTATTACCACATAGAGCAGTTAAATTTGTTCCTGAGAGAAGTCATAGGGAGGGTGGTGGTCATGCAAGCCTATATCAAGGGATGGCTCGGAGCAAGGAGGTACAAGAAAGTAAAAGATAAAAGAGAAAATAGCGCTATTACAATACAGTCAGGTAAATGTTCATAATCTCTGTTTTACTAAGTGTCTTTGTATTTCAGTCAGTTAAATTGCATGTACATTGTTAATTTATTGATTACAGTTTATTATGAAATCTAAATGACTTCATGTGTTTTCTCTCTATCTCATTGATGCCGATGTTACTGATTTACTTCTACTAAAGTGTCATCGTAACATTTAGGAGTGTCTTTATTTAAACATTTTAATATTTTGAATGTGATGCTTGTGCACAAAATAAAAATATTGTTAGGTGTGTCTATAATAACATGCAGCTTATAATTGAAATGCAGTAGCACATGTCCCTGCCCTGTACCAGAATTGCAGACATTCATCAAAAGATGGGCCTGAGAGGCTGATTATCAGTAATTTAGCAGGTTTCCTTGTATTGATTTAGAGAACTGTGTGAGCAAGGATGATGACACACCCTTTTTTTTTTGAGTTCGGATATCAGTGAGCACATGGTGGCAATTAAAATTTGAATGAGTGAAGTGGTGTTTGAAGTTGTGAGGATGTGAATAGTGCAGTCATGAACCCGGAGTTCAACATGTGGGTGGGTGGGGAAGAGCTATTGGGGGTGGAGGCTGAAGTAGTTATGGCAGGAGGAATGAAAGTTTCAGCACATCTCTGACCCTGTAGACTCTGTAGCAATTCCTTAAATAAATGTAATTTCCAGCACATGGTTTTGTATTTTTAGCCTGGAGAGGATATGAAGCTCGCAGGAAGTACAAGGAAATAAGGAACAGAAGAACTGATGCTGCTATACATATTCAGGCAGGTAATTAAAACAGTATTTCAATTGCCAACACCTATTTTTCTGTGGGTGATTTTTTGTGTGTCAGTGTTTATAGCAAAAAAAAAGTTAAGTCCAAACAAAAGCTTTCAAAAACATTACTTCTGATCATTTTTGCTTCAGTGTCAAATTATATCAGTGATAGGTATCAAGCACTTTAGACCTTTTATAAGTACTTCTCTGAAAGCAAAATATAGTAATTAAAAGCTGTTAAGTTAATTCTTGGCTAAAAATGTGAATGGAAGACACTAGACTTGCATTTCTCTGTCTTTGTTTGGAGCACTGATCTTGGCAGGTTGCCAGGTTTTTGTCATGACTGCTTGCTGGGTTTGCCAGCTTTGACCAATCTTTTGACAAACTGCCAGACTCCTATGCAGCCATATCAATATGAATTTGAATAAACTTTAAAGAGATTATTGGAGGAACAGGCCCATAGGGCTGTGTAGGTCTCTAGTAGAGAGCAGAGTACCATATGGCACAGAAATCTAAGAACCAGTGCTGTGAATGCTGTGAACTCTATGGTGTTTTCAGATGCTGCCAATATGAGGCAGCCTCCATATGATGCAGTGCAATACACCTTCTCTGTCCAACTCCAGGTTTGAAGATTGAGACTGAGATAAAACCATTGTAACTAATGGGTTTACACATAAACCAAGTATCACTTTTACCAGTTTCCTGTGCTACAATTCCTTAAGCTTTGTTACTTCTTGTTCTGTATCTTATGGTCTGAAATGTATATGAAAAATATTTGTTGTAATATTTTTTAACTTGTTCTCAAAGCATTCTGATGGATTAAAAAAAATCAACAAAGTAAATTTGTTGATTTTTGTGTTGTCTAGTTGGCTACTCTGAAATTAAGCATTACTGTGACTTTCAGGAGAAAAGAGAATGCCATTCTAGTTACCAAAAGGAACAGAATATCATTAGGATCAAATAATAATTTGTAGCTTTGCATATGTGCTGCTATGTAAAATCATGAAGCTCTAGGGTTAAATGCAGTATATTCTATTGAACGGAAGAAAATTTTTCTTGCGTTAGCAACAAGCACCAAAGGATTGCACAAGTACTCTCTCTCATTCTTCCTCTCCTTTATGTTGTCATTTTCAGTTGTTTTCATGATAGTGCAGAGAGAAGATCTTCAAGTATCCCCCTGCCACTATTTCCTGGAGTATTTGCTACCTTTACAAGTATATACGTACCTGAACTTTGATTACAACAGCCTGTTGTTGAAGAAAGGAAAGTGAAATTGTTAACCCATGACAGTCTCACTATTAGCAGCTCCTTAAGATGAGAGCTACCTCAGGTGCAATAGGAAGCTTGTGTGTAGCATTATCACTTGGATGCTATAGGGGACATTCTCACTTAGAGTTTTATCCAGTCAGATTTTTAGCTCTTTAGAGAAGGCACTGATGTATTCTGCTGTTAGCACGCATGGGAGACATTCAGACCTCTGTTTCTTCCTGCCATCTTTTAAATACTGTCTTAAACATGGCAGAGCAGAGGCAGTGGGAGTCAATTGGGACACTGTTGAGCCCTCTGGACCTAATGCTGGAGGAATGTTATTAGTACTCTTCTCTCCAACACACACAGTGTTTTCCTTCGTAACCTGGCACTTGACTGTTTCAGTAATCAGCCTAGGTGAATAAACATTAGGGACTACAGGGTTAAGAGTGACACAGTGAACCTTTGTATTAGGCTGGCTGCTCCTCCTGTCTTTGGTACTGTAGTAGAATGGGAATAATAATAGCAATAACAATATTAGCAATAATGATAGTAATCCTCAACACTTTTCTGTCTGCCTTTGGAAACCTATATTAGGACTTCTTATTTGAAAATATTTCTTGTGCAGGTTTTCTCTTCTCAATATGCTAATTATTCTGTTTCAAATCAAAGCTTATGCTTGTTAATCATGACCATTTTCCAGGTTTTACAATACACTGACAGTTTTTGTATTGTTTACATAACATTACACAGTCCAAGTGCCTGGTGACATGGAGACAAAAGGTACTTTAAATCTCTCCCTTCTCTGCACATCTTACAGTGTGGGGGTAGTTCAAGCCAGCTTTCTAGTAAAATGGAGTACAATCATTTTTGTATTTTTTTAAAGAGCCATTCCAGGCAGTGGGATAAATTGTTTGCATTCGTCATCCACATTAGCAAAACCATATAATTAAACTATATGTACTTTCCTCTCCTTTCCCTCCCCCCTGCCCCGCTCAAGCAGGCCTTGGAATTTAGGAAGCATTTGGCTTACATGTTTCTACAGAACAGCGCATATTGAAATTTGTTTTCCTTTCATCTCTTTCCCAATAAAAGCAGCCGCTCAGCTTATCCCTTTAGCTTCCTCAGAACTTCCTTTCAGAATTCCCGATCTATTACAGCACATTCACATACCAGAAACAAGATGCCTTTTCATGCTGTCAACCTTTTTCATCTGAAATGTAAATTAATTCTTGCTGGTACGCTTTGACAGAGATCAAAGTAGGGGTATTAACCTTATTGGGCCTTCTCCTCATCAGAATCAGTTCCAAAGACTGCAAGGGTAGTGTTAGGAGGCCAGTCTTCACTGTTATCTATGGCCCTCCTCCAGGCAGTCCTCTGTCTACAAGTCAGCATTTCAAAGGCGCTGATTTCTTTTGTAAATGACCTTATCATTACTTTAAACTGTGTGAAAAATGATTTGCCTGAATAATTCTTGCAGGATTATCCTGCTCATTTTAATTGTGGGGGGACTTCATTCAGGTTCCAGGATATTGTTTAAGTGGTTTTGACAGCAAGTGATCATAGCCTGATAAAAAGGAGGAACACAGCTCCTGATTGGAAACCTCTTGACTTGTTCAGATTGTTCATTTCTTGCGAGTCAGTCTTTGAGGTAGGCTGCATTTGCATTTTAAAAATAAACAGATGCCTTTCAAATACATGAGCTGGTGGTCTGGAGATCTCTGTGGGCCCGGCAGTTCACTATCCATTGAAGAAATGTTGGAAGAAAAAACAAACTTAGAAAAAAAACAACGCTCACAATATACATGAGGATAAAATTCCTGAGTGTATTATATTACAAGATAAAAAGTCATTATTTCAGATGGGGGGAAACCCTCACTAGGAAACAAAATATTAGTGAATTTAAATTAAATGGGGAAGAAAAAGCTACCCTACTTCAGCATATCTACATCTCAGGTTCTCAGAATATAGAGATGTTATTAGACTCATTGCTAAAATGGTACACAGGATAAACAGGACCTTTCCTCCTTCAGTCACACTTTGTCAAACTGTGTGGGTTAGAAAATGCTACTTTTTAACTCAGAAACAAATTGTAAAGGACGATTTTGTGTTAAGTGTTTGAATTAACAATACTTTGCATTTCTGAGTATTTCTTTGTAATTGGAATTTACAGTGTTTCAAGTCACATGAGAGGGCAATTCAATTCAATTCTCCATGGGGAAAAATATATTGTCAAAGATTTTTTAAAATTATTTTCCAGATTCTCAGCTGGTTTAAATCAGTGTATATCCACTGAATCATCTGACTGAAATATTGCTTCATTTATTTACCTCACATTCAAGTCTCATATAATGTTTATTTTAGAATAATTAGAATTTAGAATTCATTAGAATTTAAAGCAACAGATAATACAATTATGAAAGTATGTTTTCTAGTTATGATAGCATGTATTTCCATGCAGTGTGACTTGTCCCAAAAGACTTAAGGGAGGATTTTAATCTGGTTATTTTATTTGTGAACTGACATTGCCAAAATGCCAAATGAGTGGTGCATGCAATTCATTTAGATCTGAGGTGACATCACTGAATTTGTTTTAATTAGGTCCACTTTAGCCATCTGGAATATACTGTGCAGCTCTGGTCAAGAGTGAGTTTAACTGTGCTTCCAGAGGTGAAAGGCAAATGACTAATCCACTGAGCCACCATCTCCTCCTCCAACACGTGCTCGCACACTCACCATATGTCATACTGTAGTAGAAAGTTCTTTATCAAGAACTCTACATTTGGGCTCTTTTCCTTAAATAAGAAGTGATGGCTGTTCAGAAGGAAGCACCCCTTGTAAATTGCTTTCTTTCTGTAACTTCTGCTGGTGAAGTATTGCTTACATATCTCTAACTGTACGTCTGGCAAAATTTATTCCCTTTTAATAAAAAAGAGGGACAGAGAACAGCTGCAATTTACTGGTTTCCATTTATAATAAATGTAAGATTTTAATAAAAGCATTGTCTTTGGGACTTGCAGCAGCAAAAATATAATGTTAGTTTCAGTAGAAGACAAGGAAGTATTTTTTGCATATTTATTCCAATATTTATTCATCTATTTTTATTACTATGTATATGTGTGTGTGTGTACATGCACTCAGCTAATACCATTGTACAGGTGTAAGAATTACACGAGTAAAATCTTCCAAAAACTTCTAAGCACTTTAAAATATATTAAAAACTGTTTTCTTTAAAATTTTCTTGAAAACTACTCCTAAGTAGCAGATCCATTTTCCTATTTTTTTATCAGTAGTTTTCCTCCTTCTAACTACATTTTCAGTGTAAAAAACATTGAAGACATGTCTCTCCAATGGCAGCTGTACTGATTTATCATATTATCCTGATTTCCCAGTCAGGGTAAGCCAGACTGGTCTGTACAGGCTGCACAGCTATGGTTAACTGTACTCTCCCATCTCGTTGTGTCCTGTACTAGCTTACAGCATCCAGTAATTCTTCATGTTTAGTATGTCTCTAATGCTCATATGCAGGGAGCATTTTAGAAAAGTGAGAAGGCCTTATAGTTTTAAACTATGGGGTTTTATATTCCATCCCCATCTCTGAGAAAAGCTCTGTCAACCTCCAAATGTCTGATTTTGAGGAGAAAAAATGGAGACTATTCTTACTGGATTCCATGCTAAAAAAATCTCTTCCTTTTCCTTGCTGATATTGCCAGAATTTCATAGTCATCTTCACTTTTTTATTTGACCAAGTCTCAAGATCAGAGACTGTGACACATGGTGGTTACACCACCAAGCCTGACAAAGCTCAAGAAGCATTTGGACAGTGCTCTCAGGCACATGATGTGACCTTTGAGGATGGTCCTGTGCTGAGGCAGGAGTTGAACTTGATGATCCTTGTTGGTTCCTTGCAACTCATTCCATGTCCAAGTGTTGATGTGCATCAGTGACACCAGACCTGATGACAGCCTTAGTGAGTCTTGCTAATAGTCACTGTGAGTGAAAGTTACTTCTTGGAAATGAGAATTCATAACTTCTTTCTCATAATACTTCTGCTGGAGAACTTAGGAGTTTTTTTCTGCTGTTAAACATGCATCACCCAATATCCATCTAGAGAAGTGAAAGAGAGGAAGTATTCATGGCACCCAACAAAGGATGTGACTCTATGCCATCTACTGCTCATTAGAATTAATTTGGCATGGAGTGAATAATCAGATTTGTGGGCTCTAATTTCTCTCTGATGCTGTTAGTTAAGTTGCTGAATGCTCTTTTAACTAGACAAATTAGGAAAGTGATGTGCTGTTCTTAGGAAATCAACCACCTTCTCTTTAGCAAGCATGAGCTTTCACTTCTGAGTTGCTGTTATATGCTGTTTTAGGTGATGTTAGAGAGTAAAAATGTGTATGTGTAGAAAAAGTCTGTTTCACATGATTTTTTAATGACTGAGAATTAATCCTTCTACTGTTTTAAAACTACTTCATCTCCTTTCTTTATAGTTCTCATAGACCTGTGATTGTTTAGCTTTGATCTTTTTACACTGTGCTTCACAATTTGCTCTGTAATTCTATATTTCCTGTGGGACCCAGAAGGCAAATGCCTGGACTTTTACTATCTGGAATTGTGCATTATTGTATGTAGTGTATATTGCCTTGGTATTTAGACCTTAAAAGTTTGTAACTGCAAGATCCACATCTCAGACTCCCTGAAGTAAATAGATTCTTGGTTTACTAGGTGCCGAAACTGAAAGAAAACTCTTTTTGTGTGAAAAATGATCAGTACAAGAAGTAAAAATTCATGTCCTAATTTGTGGCACATAAAGCATTTAACACCAAGTTACTAATAGAAGTGTTAAAATTAAGTTCAGTTCCTATGTTGCTTGTCAGATCCTGTCATCTTTGGCTATGTAAAGATCAGGGTTAAAGCTACTGTTGCTGTTTGGAAAGTTTGAAATATAGACTGAATAAGGTGAAAATTAGGTGACAGCTGGTAATCATTCTTCTTCAATGATGCAGTGATTGTTCATGGAGCAGTAGCAACATGAGTCTGCTAATTTCACACTCTTTGAGCCAAGTGCTTAGTGTCAAAACCAGCACCAGTCAGTAATGCAAATTGCTGTGATGGAGCAGCTTCCCAGCCTCTGAGACTGCCCCAGTAGAATTCTCTGCATATGTATTTCTTTTGAAGCATTATAGAGCCTGTTAATAAATGTTGAAAAGATGCAGTCCTACTTGTGCTTGATGAAGCTTTTGAGAGTCTTAAAGAAGTTTGTTTACCCTGTACTTCAGTTGTTCCAGGAGTCAAAAGTAGGAAAAATACAGCTATTTACCTTTCAAATTCAAGGTAATTTGGAAGAAAGTTAGAAACCATCTTGTGGGAAGAGGAGTTGATTTTGAAAATACCTATGAATATAGAAGACAGGGCAAAAACTGTGTTTATTAAGTCAGATATAGCAGATTTTTACACAGTGGATGGGGCAAAGACCAAAATGGTTATATGGACATTAGTAAGAATCTCTGATAAAAAGAAAAACAGTATTTAAATATAAAATCACAGGAAGTATCAGGGTTGATTTTGTAGACACACATGCAAAGAAGTACAAAAAGGTGAGAAGCTACAAAGGATAAAAGTGAAGTTTATCTTATCAGTTCATTTGTTTCAGTGCTACTTTATAGTAGTTCATCGAGTGATTGACACTCAGCATGTTTCAGCTGCAGAGAAGTGGCTGCTGGCCAGCTGTCTCTGCTGCTGAGAGCAGAGTGGGATCTTGGCTGGTCAGTAGGGACTAGTTAAGGATTGGAAGCCTGACCACATGGGACAAGTGAGAACCTGCCTCATCTCAGTCAGATAGGAGGCTTTCCTAGTTGGGAGTATCAAGGGTGGAAAGTTCCTCAAGCCTCAGGATACCTGAGCTCTGTATTTGGTTCAACACCTCAGCAGGTCAAACTTCTGTCATGACTTCTGTAAAGTGAATGGTTGTTTATTTTCATAACCTCTCATTAAAAGGCAACTTTTGTTGCTTCTTATCCCAGAAACCTCAGTGCTTTCATAAGAAAATCAGAAGTGTGAGATACAGAGAAATCTTGTTAATCTTCTGATCAGTTTCTCCATTCCTCAGTTTATTCAGTATTCGTCCTACCTCCTGATTTCCTTCAGCAATCTACAGTGTTGATCCTGATCCTGCATGAGATTGCCTTAGACCTCATTTCTGTGCCTATCTGTGCCTTTAATATGTAACCCTGGACCCCAATGGGAGGGCTGCTCTTCTTTGGGTATTTAATCTTCAGAATTACTCCGGTTTGTGCGCATTTAGTGTGCATAAAAGCTTGTCCTGGACAGGAAACATTTTAAAAAAAATCCTATCTCCTCAGCTTAGTTCCACTATTCTTTTACATACTGTCTCACTGTTAAAACTGCAGTCCTGCTGGACTAAGCTGGACACAGCTCCTTTCTTTCACAGCTCTCAGCCTTATTCAGCTTGTTGTACACTGAAACAATGGCACTGATACTGTAGTTACTTTTTCATTACTAAGTCCTTTCTCCCCTTAGGTATTTCTACTTAAAATACTGCTTGAAATAAACCCTACAAAATCAAATCTTAAATTTTGTGAGTTTATATTGCAGCCTTTTTAGTCCTTTGTTCTAAGTGCAGTATGCATCACTATCTTTGGTTTGTGCTGGAGCTTTATTACTGTTCACAGGTGTAAAGAATGCAAGATAGAACTATAGAAATAATTATGGTATTCAGGTACCTAAACCCAGAGACAATCTATGGAAAAAAAAGGATGTAGCTATCCTCAAAATGTTATTAATTGTCATTTTATTTACCATATCATTCCGCTATGATTTTTTTTTCTTTTTTTAGGAATGGTATAAATTCTAATGTCTATAAATTTTTTTCCCTGATTTTATGAGAGGCATTTTAAATGTTTTATCATGGTTACAGTTAATTTAAAAAATAGGAGAAGACTAACTGAATATATCTGTCCCTGGCTCTGCACCCCATTGTCCCACAATAAAAGAAAGCTAAGCTTCTGGTTTTGTAAAATTATGACTAAATCAAAGGGAAGTTGTGATTAAAGAAGTTGTTTTGGGAGTGATTTTATTTTAATACATTCTGAGTTGGATTAATGTTTAAATTAGACGCATTCTCTTTTTGAGGCCTGTTTTCCTTGCCTGGACTGTGCCAAGTGGTCAACAGTGAGAGTGTAAGGCCCTGTAGAATGTCCGGGTGTCGGTAACATTGCAAACATTGGGGTCACTCCTGTGGGCTGCTAAGTGTTCCTGTACACAAATTCAGTAAAAGCTGGAGACATTCAGGTCTGTGCTGCAGCGCCAGTTTCAGTTTCTGCAAAATCTTCCTGATTCAATGTTTTTTAGCTTTTAGGGGGTATATTGTTCGTAAAAACTACGCAAGATTGAAAACCAGCGCTGAGTTTGTAGCAGATCCTCAGCTTACAAGCAGCTGCTCTACTTCTGATTTTGGTTGTGAAGAAGACTGGTAAGTTGAATCCTTTACTATCTGTTCTTTAACAAAAGTGATTCCCCACGCAATAAGATCTGAAAGGAGCAGATTTGTCATCATGATTCAGCCAGCTCTTATAAATCTGCCATATTCTGAGGGTGACCACGTGTAGGTTAGCAAGTTCTCCCTCCAGCTTAGTCATCTCAGTGATCTCCCAGTTAGTGGAAATGTGCTGTTTGCTCTGGATTGCTCTCCTGGTTTTGTGCACTTCTTGTAAGTACCTAGAGTACTGCAGATTGCAGACAGAATTGCAAGTGCTCAGCATTTCAGCATTCACTGCAGTGCATGTTATGAAATGTCCAAGAGAAGAAAGTTACCCTTCTGTGCCCAAAAAGCTCCTTGCAGACCAGCAATGAGACAGGGAAAAGAGCTGTCAAGAGCAGATGGACACTTTCTGTCACTGACAGAAAGCCTAGGAGTGCTGTAAACTATGCTGGTGCTCTATTTCTTGAAGAGAGGAGGTATTTTACCACTTAAAGCAATGGGGTCACTCCAGACAAATCTTCCTGTGACACTTCCTTAGTTATGAGAGGCAAAAGGGATCTGTTACGTTTGAGTCACCAGCATTGTTCTAGGGCGGGTGGCTGGGTTTGCAGGACTAATCCCTTTCATTAGTTTCAGTGACTGAGGGTTATGAGATCTCTCCTGCTGAAGCCATTCTGGAGAAATTATTTCTTTTTCCATGTATGCTCATAGCATTGAGTTTTGTTAACTTCCGTATATACACAGTCCATATATACATAAAGACGTTTAGCCACCAAACTGACGCTGAAATCAGTGTCTAAATGCATTTAGATATCTGACCTGAAAATGTCCATGTGAAATAGATTGGTAATTCAGGTCTTGCACCCAGTCCTGGTTGCAGTTTACAGTCAGATAGATAAATATCTTTTGCCTGGAGTTGGGAAAGTGCCATTACTGCTGGCAGTTCTTAATTAAAGACAGATTAAAAGAGCAACAGCCTGGTGGTCTTTTAAAAATCTGTGTAAAAGCTGAGTTATAGTGTTATATGTAAAGCACTCAGTTTTACTAAGTCATGAATTTAAAAGTGTTTAGAAGAAATTAATACTTAAAAAAAATTAATTCAGAAGAAGAAATTGAATCTCTACACCTAGTTCATGCTCTTCAGTCAGTGAATGCAGGACATAAGCAAACTGAAGCTAATAAATGACATGGCTTTCTAATTAAATGCGTACATTTGTTCATTTAATATTACATGTTAAAATGTTTCATGCATTTATATGCTTGACTTGGTTATCTAGTTAAATGCAAAGCTGATGTCACAGGTAACTAAGGATGCATTGAGAGTTGGCAAATATCTCTGACTGGAGTAGAAATAGATAATGTAAATGTTAGCAGGGAAGTGGCTTTGTCTCATTGAAAAAATGTTTTTCCATCAGTTTCACAAATCTGTGGAAGTGCCTGTGACTTCTGCTGAAACAGGATCCTGGGAATAATTGTGTACCTGGGAAGCTGACGCTAAGTTTTAATTATTCCCCAAAAACCATGCATGTATGAAACACTTGCCAAGCCTTTTCCTGACATCATCAGCCGCTGAGAGGCCTGCGTGCCATCAAGGAACTGAATCACAATCAAACCTTGAAAGGGGCAGTTATTTTATACTCAAACATGATCAAGACATGAGTAAAACATGGCTCAAATGAGGAAAGTAGAAGCCTTTCTGAGCCATTTTTACCACAGCTGAATAGCTGATTTACCATTCTGTTTAGAGCTGAATAGGCAGCAGAAAAGGGAGGAGTGTGATGGGATCTCCTGTTTCACAAAGAGAGCACAGACACCAACCTTAATGTCTGCCCCCATTTTGCAATTGATCATTGCAGAAATAAAAAATCCTGTATTTTGCAATGGCATAGCTAAAATTTCAAGTTAGTATTAGGGATCTTTTGAGCTAATTTAGGAATTAGGAATAATTTATGGAGAAGTGAGAAGTAATTTTCTAAAACGCCATGTGATTTGAACTTGTTAGATTGACATATCTTTAGTGAATATATTTTTCATAAATTTTCTTGCTTAGCAGGATAATCTACAGTTCAGTGACTAAGGACCTTAATCTATGCTACCTTGTTCATCTTCTTGTTCAGACAGAGCTGTCATTCTTAAATATCTTTAAATCCCTTTAGAACCCCATCAAAGTATCTGTAACCTTCATGTTCCACCATGATCATCTTTTCCATTTCCTTCCCAAATGAAAATTGTTTTAAGTAATACTGATTTGATACTTCCCCTGGGAAACACTTACTATATTGTTAATTTATTTTCCTAGCTCACTGTACTATAGCTCAATGGCTGCTAAACATCACAATATAAGTTAGTTACATGTACACATGCTGTGTTATGTAGAAGGCACTGTTTCCACATAGTGACTTTCTTATCAGTTGGGTCTTGTATCCCTTGCTCCTTGGTTTCCTTTGGAGCTCTGTGTGTTAAGAGTAGAAGATACTGGACATCAACACCAGTTCACGCTCTTGAATTGAGTTCATTGTGATTTTTTTCTCTCGTGTCTTTCTCTTTTTACCTATTTTGTGTCATGTCCAGGCTTTAGTCAGCTTAGGTTCTCAAAACCATTATTTTTAGTAATGACATTCACATGAGCCTTACAGAACCAAGATTGTATATTAGTCTGTACAAAGCTACACAGGCACACCAACTTAGATGTTTAAAAAATTATAGACAAAGAATAATTATCAGCATTTTTCTACAGGAAGTATGTGGGCGAAAATCAAGTTCTGGAAACGGGTCTATTTCTGCTCTCTAATGGCTTGACTGATGAAGCAGAATCTGATTAGTAAATTTGTATCAGTACTAAGTGAGTGGTGGTACAAGGGTTTGAGAAGGTAAGATTGAAATTAGAAGCAGTTACATGAAATGTAATGAACTGCAATATGAAAGTCAATAGTGCTCCAAAGTTTACATTGGAAGATTTACTAGCAGTGAGGATACATCAACTCACGTGTGCATCATAACATTTTGTCATCACTGCCAAGACTTGGTTAAGGTAGTATATTAGAGACTGCCCTTGAAGAAAATTAGCAAGTCCTTTGGCAGCAAAAATGATCACATATCTCTATAAACCATGGTAAAGGAAGATGTCTAAGAAAGATGGAAAACTAAGGGTCATATGGTATCATTTCTCCTGTCATGAAAGGCTGATGTGAAAACAAACTGTTCTCTGTTGAGAATCAAGAGAGAAATAATGGGCTTGCATTGCAGCACAAGAATGTTAGGTTAGAGATCAAGAAATGCTTACTAATGGTAAGTTGAGTTAAACCCAGTGTAGGTTACCTTGGAGAGTTTTGGCAGCTCCACCACTGCAGGTTTTTAAAATCAAGTTAAGCAAATATATGGGGGAAAAAAATAGATGTAGCTGATTTTTCTCTGAAAATGGGCGTGACTTAGATGATTTGTCAAAATTTTTTTATGATTTGCAAACACGTAGTGACTTCTTGAACTGTAACATTTCTGAGCCAGTGGGTTTGGCATTGCAAGCCAGCTTTTATGGCATCGTAGTGCCACCAGCTGTTGCTGCATCAGTATGGGAAGTGAGTATAGAAATGGATCTAGAGGAATTCTCCACGTCTGCTTTGCTTGCAGTGTCATTGTTGCTGTGCCTGAAAAATGAGTGAGGTTCATTTCTCAATGGTTTGCTAGAGCTGGAGGCCCATTGAAATAGCACAAAATGTGGATTTACCTGCATGGGCACTGGTGGATTAGCACATAATCACAGTATCCTGTGTATCACTGAGAGATTAAACATGATTTCAGTCACATGAGCACAAATTCATTTACAAACTGGTTTCATGTGAATTCTCCTGTTTCCTATAAAAGCTCCTCTGTCTTTGCTGTGGTGTCTTTGACTTGATCTGCAGCCTTCATCTCACTAAAGTGAGGTTTGCTCTGTCAGTCAACAACAAAACTTTCCAAGAACTCTTTTGATTAAAACAAAAAGAAAAATAATGGCTATGTTGATGTGCTTCTATTCTTCATGGAGAGCTGATTTAAAGGGTCACATCTCTACATTTTAAACCTTTTTTTTTTCAGAATCTTCAGAAGAATGCCATTGGGTCTTGATAATTTATTCCCTTACACCTTTCCCATACTTTCTCCTTGGATGATTTTAGTTTTCGTCAAGATCACATTGCAAGATCACAATTTCTTGTATAAGGCATCTTTTGAATATTACTTTTCATTTCTTTCCACAAGAATAGCTGGTATAAAGACATTTTGGTTTCCTTTAATAGCTTCACTTTCCTATTTTTAATCATAGCAAACACTGAGATTATTGCTTGTGCTGAAAATAGGAAGTCTACAATCCTTGTGGCATGCAGTAGAATCCATGGGCCTGATTCTGATGTCATGTGAGCTTCTAATTACTGTTCCTAAGTTTAGTTACTCAGGATTTTCAAAGGTGTAGATGGGAATTTGGGCACAATTTTCTAGTGTCATTTAGTTTTTTGCTCATTCCTACCCCTTTGGAATTTTTCATCTACCCATGCTGAAAGGGTTGAATTTTTTCTATTCCATAAAATAGTGCTTTTGCAAAATGAACTGTATTGTTTCTAGTAGAATATCCGGCAGTGTTTCTAACATTTTCCAAGGCATTTAAATAATGAAAGTGAAAGGGCCATTATTAATACTGGTAATGGCCAGAGTAACTCCAAAACGAGGTATTTTTTCTCCAGCATAAGTTAATCTCCATTACTAGATTTATGTTGCTATAGTTCAGCTGCTTTCAGTGCTAAGGATAGTGAGTCTATACACTATACAGATGTGTAGACAGACCTTAAGAATCAATGTTTCTTTCTTTTTCCAATGTTTCTTGCTAGTGGAGTGATTTATAGACAGCCTGTATGTGAGGACTGAGGCGTATTACAGCTCAGTAGCTGAACAGTCAGCAGCAGATTGTTGAGTTGCCTGACTGAAACCAGGCCCATGAACCCAGATCTGCAGCTGATTCCACGTTTTCAGAAGTATTCCCTGCCAGTTTGATGTTGTGGTGGGCTGACCTTGGCTGGCTGCCAGGTGTCCACCAAGCTGTTCTGCCATTCCCCATCTTGTCAGGACAAGGGGAGAAAAATGCAATGAGAAGCTCCTGAGTAACAACTAGTACTCAAGTGCATACTTCTGGTAGCAGCAGTAATTCTGTGGAAGGTTGGGCTCCATTGCAGCAAATACAACCCAATTTAGGATTGTTTTAATCAGAAAAAATCCCACGCATCACTGGGATTCTGACAGAGAGTTGGGGTTTAGGGGCTTCCAAATTCCAGAGGCTGATTTTTGCTAACTTAAGCTTTACAGAAGGGAAGTTGCTGATTTTTGTCTTTGTGCTTTAACAATTATATAAGGTCCTAGCTGTGCAAGGTTGTGTGTTTTTTTAGTAGAAGACAAAGATTGTTTTCATGCTGCTTATTTAGATACAGATCCAAACCACTCCAAAATCTGAATATTTAAATTTATATGATGATTCAGTCTGGTTTTGGCTTTGCAGGCCATTTGCAACATACTAATCTGACAGCAAATGTTGATTTTGACATCCACCAAAGTGATATCTGAGGATTATTAATAATTTTTACCTTGTATTTGATTTATTTTCAGAAATACTGGGGAAAAGGGGAGTGCACCATCTCAGAAATGCTTGAGGAATTTTTGGGCAAAAGTGGCAGGTTATCTAACCAGTGACACTAAATAAATTACTATCTAAATAATATATATACAAGATAAATAGTAATAAAGAACTTTACAGATAATATAGTATATGCACAAATGCAGTGTAAAATACAGTCCTAGACATATGTTTTACTTTCTACTTTAAGAAGTGTGCCAGTACTAAATGATAATGCATTTCTAAAGTGGATCCCTTCCTTTCCTCCAAGGAAAACACAAGTTTAAATTCAATTTACATTTTAGGGCAAATGTTTTTCTTCTCTTTCTTTGTGTCAAAGAATAAAGGGGGACTTAAATTCCCCTTATCTGACATGCAAGTCCAAAGTTCCCTCACGAAATTGAAACATTACAGAAAGATGACTGTTTACCATGTTTATGAACTTCATTCAGTTTTGACAATGAAAAAGTCTTTGTTTGAATCCAAGTTTGAGGACCGTGAGCATACCAAATAATTTCCATGAGCCTCAAATTTTTTAATCTACTAAATGAAATTGGTAGCAATTTCTTTGGTATTGCATAGCTGGAGATTCTGAAACAAGTTCTGTCTGGGTGGACTTTACTGTTGAAGAAATCCATTGACTTCAAAGGCCTGACAATGAGGATCACAGCCTGCAGAAGGTTTTTATGTTACTTTAATCAGCATTAATGAAGTAGGAGTTGGCCTTTAATATTTTTATGGCGACATAATATGATGGTAAAATAGTAACAGATATAGCCAAAGAATCTAAGACATCTTACTTCTTGCTCTGTCTTTAACCCCCATGGCTTTAGGAGAGCACATGTGTTTCACTTCTTGCTCATCCATCAGATTTCGAGTGTCTAAGTTTGAATTGTGTGAAAATAGCTTTTCACAGCCCTGGAAAAAAATTTAATATAAAATCTTAGCAAATTAATACATTACTTCAATTTCATTAAATTCTTGTAAATTCATTTTACACATCTGCACAGACACACAAATTTTTAATGACAAATTCATTGCTTATAACCTGTTGCTGCGTTTAACAGTATGCACTTTCTTATAAGAGGAAATGGGACTGGTCTGGGGTTTTTTTTCTGAATGGGTTGTATATGCAAATTTAGAAATTGGGGGAGGGAGAAAAGGGAAAATCAACAAAAAAAGTGTGTATGCCAGTAAACCTTTTATAAGAGTGAAGAAATTACAATATTTAAACTAAATTTTTCTTTTTCTTCGCTTTTAGGCAGCAAACCAGTAACCAGTCTTCTCCCGTGGTGCCTGATTTTCTTGACAAACAAACTAAAAAGGTACTACTAAGTTTATATTCTAAAACAACATCCCATTATAACTTCAAATTCCTGAGTCCACAGTTCTGCAATGTGTTCATGTCTGCTTGGCATAGCCATCTGAACATGAAACCGTTAGTGATGTTTTGAAGTCTTTGAGACAAAAGCCTGCTTGCTAAGAACTTTAGTTCTGTAGAGAGACAGGGAGGTACAGTGAATAAGAGAATCAAAAGGCTGGAAATTTGCTGCTGAGAATAAATGCTAGCTGCTCCCTGAGGTGATTTGTCTGTGCACTTCACTTTCTACAGATGTTAGAGACTCTTTTTTAGTAAGGACCTGAGGTTCTTTGGTAGCACTTTGATATCCTGCTCGAATTCAATATGTGAAATGGAGGAGTCGCTCTGTGACTTGGAGCACAGCATAGTCTTTGAAGTCTGATCCAATTTTTGCTGCTTACCATTTGATGTTGAAAGGATGAAATGGAGAAAATGTACAGTTTTTGCCAGTAACTCTGCTGAGCATATGTAAGATTAAAAAAACAAAATCCCTTGGATGATGTACTTAGAAATGTTAAGCAGATTAATACCTTCCTATAGCTTTTTCTAAAGATACAAATTAACTATGAGAGGAAATCAGCATACAGTGCATGCTATGATTTAACTGCATGAGGAAAGGGGATAAATAAGTTAAATGGAAAAAAGTAAACAAATGTTTGTGACACGGGTGCTAAGTCAGTGTTGCTGAAAGCCACAAGAATCTTGTGTAACTTAAATCTAGCATTAGATGCTTCAGAGAGTCTTGGAAAATAACAAGTTGCTCTCTATGAGATCACAGCTGTAAGTTATCATAAGCAAGTGGAATTAATACATTTCTTATGTGCCTAAACCAGCATTCTTTATTCCAGAATAATTTGGATGAGATTTCTGCTTCTCCATTTATTCTAAAACATTCATTTGAAACGAATCATTCGCAATCAATTAGCCAATCCCAGACAGTTGCAGACCATCAGTTGTCAAATCTTTTGACATCCTGTAAAAAAGGAGGTAAGAAATATATAAAAGTAGCAGAGATATTTTGTTTACTGCTTATAAGCCACAAGTTGCCAGCATGTAACTTGCTTTATGTATTGATGAGATCATTTAACAATTCGTTGAAAGGCAGAAACATAATAGAAAAACTTTCTTCTCTACACTTTCACTCTCGAAATATGAAAAAGCCCTTAAGTCTCTGTATTACAGAGGCAAAAGTAAAATGATTTTTAAAATACACTTCCTGTTAAAAGTGTCATTACTAATCTCAAAATACCTTTTTAATGAAATCAAATCTACCTTCAAGAGCTTCAGCTTTCCTTTGCCTTCCAACCTCAGAAGTCAAAGACAGAAATGAAGTCTCTTCTGTTGGGCAGAATGAAAGACGACTGGTTTGTTCACACACAGAGATTCAGTCAGCAGCACAGGAACATTGGCAATACTTCTACAATCATTGCAGTGCAGTTTTTTTAATTTTTATTTGCTGTTATGTTATTTTTGCCATGTTCAGCAAGAGTTTCAAAACTTAAAGTAAAATATTTTGACATTTTTTGAATTTTACCTGGTTTATCTTTAGATATTCCAGGAAATCATTACTTATCAGAATACTTTTCTCTTATCATGGGTTTTATAATCATCCTATCTTTGCAAATCCATGAATGCAGACTTTATTACTAGACTGTAGAATAACTTTCACAGTTTAAGATGAAGTAGGTTGATAATGTGCTATCTGTAACCAGAGCCAAAATGTATATGATAGTAAATTAATTTCTAGATTAATACTGAAAATTAGTTGTTTATAATGTCATGCTATTAATTAACATTACTGTTTGTTTATTTATTTAATGGGACACCTTTCATCTCCTAAATCTACAAATATTTATCTGCATAATTAAACTAATCCTGCAATTTATGTGTTTAAATTTTACAGAGTTCAGTAAAACTATTTTCAATGTTTAATTTCAATGTTCAATGTTTAATTTTCAATGTTTTCAACCTTTTCAGTGTAAAGGTAAGATAGGTATTTATAAGCAACTTGTTCTGTTAATTCAATAGTTTTCTCTTTTTAAACAGGTATAATGTGCTTTCCATGCTAAAAAGTGAATAGTATTTAAACAGAGCAGATTGAGAAATCCATTCTTCCCTCCTCATGCATTTCAGTCCATATTGGTTTTGAATCCATAGTGTGGAACGGCAGGGGAAGTTTGCATTGCTATCTTAAATTATTGCATGTTGAATAATAAACCTGTCAAGCAGAAATATCTTCATTGCAGCAAATCCTCTTGAGGGAAGCAGTCAGGGCCCAAATCCATCATCTTTACTCTCACTGCATATTGTATGTTACCTTGCAAGTGGTCTCCTTGAAATCTAAGACCTTGTGTCTGAGGCAAAACAATTAGAGTAAAACTGGCAGAATTACACCCTTAGCAAACATAATTCAAAACCCTTACTCAGTAATTGAGAGTGTCTTCAAAAATGTGAAATGATAGAAGAATAAAATTTGAAGAGGAGATAAATGCAACATTGATCTGAACTATTGAAGAGACATCTATATTTAAATGAATTAGCATGCAAATGCAGAGAAGTAAAGGAGTTTCCTAGATAAGCATGAAAATATGCAGATAGATGATCATATAAATCACACTTCAATGAGTAACTATTAAGAAGTAAACCTGGTGAGGAATAATAACTTCTTTGGGTGCTTTTAAAAGCACGGCTTGCATTCAGAGATGCAGATGCTTTCGCCTGGTGCTCGGTCTGTATTCAGCTGTAGTGTATGAAGTACACTTCTAAGCAGGTAGTATTCCTACACCTACTGTGAAAACCAAGTGAAATAGGAAATATCTCTTTGGAACAAGAAAGCATGTATAAAAATATGTGAGATTTACAGTGTCAGGTGATACTACATAAGCTGCTATTCACACTAAAAAGCTGCCCAGTACATAGTCCAAACAATGCAAAGACTGTTATTTTTCATAGTGAAAGATTTTTCGGCAATGTTAGAGACTGGTTTTTAGTTCTCTGTAAGTTACATTACAGACAGCACTAGTCTGCCAGCTTGGTGGTGCTTGGACCTGAAAGGCCAGTGGGAAAGGGAATGTGACAGGTTTCTGCTCTGGTCCATGACCCAGTTATGAAGCAGTGTTGGTGTTTGCTGAAAGATAAGACTGTATGCAGGCTTAAGCACAAAAGGAAGGACAGGCTGCTTATTTATCTGGAGGCCTTCGTAGGTGAGGTCTAGTTCAGTCAAGAGGGGACAGAACACAAAAGGACAAAATGGTTGATATCACTTTGCGTGTTTTTGCATTAATCGAGCGGTCTGTTCTCTCATATCTTATCTGGCTGTCTAATAGCATGGGCTGCCTGTTCTTAATAACAGATTGGCGAAGGAAGAATAGAGAAGGATATTTCCACAAAAATCATGCAAAGACTATACTCTGTAATTAATACAGAGACAAAAGCCTCTTTTTCACATCAAAAGCCTTCTCACTGGGTCATAGAAAGACTGAGCAGTGTGGCCAAACTGCAAGCACAGCTAGGGCATGCATGTGCTGTGGTTCTATAGAGTCACAGGAACTGGCTTTACCCTGCACAGACATTCCCCTGCACTCTGCCAGAGCACTGGGGCAGGACCAGTAAAAATGCTGAGGATTTCCTCCAACGTTTCTGGTGTACACAGAGCCTGGGCAGAGAGTCCAGTCATTAGTAACAATTAAGCCAGAAGTTAATTATTCTAGTCACAATATAGTACCAAAAGAATCTAAATAATATAATCTCCAGAGGCCAAGTAGTGGTATTCTCATAGATGAGATAGAAAATGAGGATGTTTGAAATTATTAATGAGAGTGCTTCATAGGGAATTTACCAATGTAACTTTGTTTCAAAGGTAAATGTGACAGATTTTCTGAGATGCAAAGGAAATACGTTTGCAAAAGGAAAGCTAATAGTATCTCTGCATTGACCAAACAATGACGTATTTTTTTTGCTTAGCACAGACATTTTGAACAAGTGAGAAAATACACAAAGAGCCTCTGGCTGTGGACATTCTCTCATGGGAGAACAATGTGACTTATGGATATGTTCAGTTTATGCCTTACACCCTACATTGCAATGCTGAAACTTTGTGAAAAGTAGAGAAATTTGCCAGGATTCTGCAAGGTCTGGAAGTATAGTCTTCAGTGTTGTCTATAGCCACAGTCTGAGGCAGTGAATAGTCCATTTCAGTACAGCCTTTGATTTTAGATTCTTTAATCTTTTATATTTTCAAAATATAAAAGGGGCTTGGCATGTTTCAGGCTGGAGTCCCATTAGTCAGTGACCCATTTTTAATGTTTTTCTTGCAATTCTTTTTTTTTTTTTTTAATGTTGATAATTTTATCTCTTCCTTTCTGGTAAACCAATCATAAAATGGGATTTGGTGAATTAGCTGTGCTATGTTTGGCGAAATATATGAAGTCACTGGGTTTTGCACTGATGAAGGACAAGCAGATAATTAAATATGTCAAGTTAGTGCTTGATGGGGAGGCAAGCTGCTGCCCAACTTGCCCACTGTGGACAAGTTTTGGTAGGGGCATTGTGGGCATTGGAGACATTATTCCCAAAATGTTACTCTTTGGTTGTCATCACACAGATGATATTTACAGGTTCATCATCCTAAACAAGAAATTAAAAATAATGATGACTTCATTAGAAGTTCAGACTTAACTCCAGTTTTAAAGAAGTGATCCAACTTTAATGCTAAGAGGTATGATCATGTTAAAATACCCAAGCCAAAAAGAACAGTGGCTTGGTTGTTTGATCTTTGCTTCAGAGTACAGTTTTCTTGGTGCCAGACTTTATTATTGAAAATACTTTAAACTGCCTCAATTCAAAGCACAGTCTTGATTCAATGTCTTGTGCTTGCAAGTGAAAGGTGCTTAAATATAGAGAAGTACTTTATACTGCATGGTGGTTTAATGTTGTAGAAGAGTTTTAACTCTGGTCTCATTTCATTCTTACTTTTACATTTTTTGAAAAAATGTTAATGACTATGGCAAAGCAATAATCAGTAGTGACTTGGAAATGGAGGCACTTTTTATGCTTGTATTCACAGAAATTCAATATCCCAGCATGACTGTGATATCATAGTATTAGAGTAAAGAACAGGAAGTATCTCACACCAAATGTGGTATCAAGATCTGGGTGTGCCTTGTAACAAAAGATGCCACTTCACTTTGTGCAAATAGAGAGAGATCAATCCAAGCCATTCAGCTGTTTGTGTAACTCAGGTTCCTATTTGATTTCATTATAACAAACCTTCCTTTCTAAGTAAAAACAAAACCACGACTACATGATGTACTGTGAAATACTGCATGAACTTTCAACTAGTTTTCACTGGCAGAGGGGATGATATTGACACATAATGCCATTCCTTTCAGAATCCTATCACTGAGGAATTTAAAGGAAGGATTTTGTAATCTATTTAGAATTATTTTTGGTTGTTTAAACAGGACTTTCGTTTCATCATTTTTAAGCTCTCCACTGAGACTAATCTTACACTGAGGGAATATAAATCATGAAAAACTTGACCATAGTCAGTAAAATCATAACAGTGAGCAGAATAGAGTCTCTTGGTTATAAAATATTGACATGAAAAGTTTTCTACATATCTGTGGTTTAGGGGAGTTTGGGACAAAAGGGTGTGGAGTGTGAGTCCTATGAGGAGCAGCTGAGGGAGCTGGGATGTTTAGCCTGGAGAAGAGGAGGCTCGGGGGGATTTTATCACTCTCTACAACTCGCTGGAGGGAGGGTGTAGCTGGGGGGGTGCAGGCTCTTCTCCCAGGTAACCAGCGACAGGACAAGAGGTTATAGTTTTAAGCTGTGCCAGCAAAGGTTTATGTTGGACATTAAGAAGAATTTCTTCACAGCAAGAGTGATTAAACATAGGAATGGACTGCCCAGGAGAGTGGTGGAGTCACTGTCCCTGGAGGTGTTTAAGGAAAAGACTGAATGTGGTACTCAATGCTATGGTCTAG